AGACAACGCGCGTTACATGACTGTTGAGCCGGACCCCTAGACTGGTGACGCGGCATTGGTCTGAAAGTCGCGTCTCAAGACCATTGGGCCATGCAATCCACTGATGCAACTCACTGATGCAATTACTGATGCAACGTACTGATGCAACGTACTGATGGAACTTACTGATGCAGCTCACTGACGCAGATGACTGATGCAGATGACTGATGCAACCCACTGATGCAGTTTACCGATGCAAACAACTGATGCAAATTGCTGATCTCACTGATGCAATTTACTTGCATTATAGGTGAGCGAATTGAGGCCACAATCTAGGCCACGTCTCAATCCTCGCTGTAAATTTAACTGACCAATTGCAGAATGGATACAGTGTTGTATTACTCGCTGTCATGCCCGCACTCTGTGACCTTCCTGAAGCTGCTTGACGCCCTCCCCGAGATAAGCAAGCGGGTGCGCAGGGTGCAGGTTGGGAGAAACAGACCCCACAATCTCCGCATGGTGCCTGCGATTGTGATTGACAATTCAAGCCCTTTGTATGGCGAAAGGGCCTTTCAATGGCTCAAAAAAGAGAGCCAAGTGTCCGTGAAGCCTTTCACCCTTGGTGACCAGGCCTCCCCTACCGCTGGCATCAACTATACATTCCTCGATGAGGACCCCGCTTCCGTTGGCGTGGATGCTCCACCGGCCACATCTCTAGATGCCCTGGTGGCTCAACGCAACGCCGAGGTGGCCAGGCCTATCGCACGGGCCTGAAAAGTTGTGCGGTATTAAGGCTTTGCAGATTAGCAAAAGGTAAGTAGAGATGGAACAACCTGCAGACCTCCTCTTTGAACTCAAGACCGTCCAAGCCACAGCCCTCCGCTCGCTGATTGAGCTGTGCAAAGAATGGCTCACCGACGTCAACCTGTCCGTGACGCCCGGCGTGGGGATAAAGCTCATTACAATGGACAGCTCAAAGGTCTCTATGATCCATTGCGAGCTTGATGCGGTAAACTTTGAGAGCTTCAGCTGTACAAAGCCACTGGTCCTGGGCGTGAATATGACATCCCTCTTCAAGCTTGTAAAGTCGGTCACCAGCAACGACGTCCTGTGCATGTATCTCACCGCAGCAGATCCGCACCAGCTGGGGATCAGGATAGACAGCCCCGAAAGGAAGAGCAGCACCAAGTACTCCTTGAAGCTGCTGGACATTGACGAGGACCCGATCAGCGTGCCGCGCCTCAAGATGGACTCTACGATCTCGCTGAGCGCCGTGGATTTCCAGAGGCTGATGAGGGACATGTCAGCCATTGGGACGTCCTGCCGCTTCAGGCTCAATGGCAGCACTCTCACGCTCAGCTGCTCCGGCGACTTTGCCACTCAAGAGACCACGCTCAACATGGCTAATGAGGAGGTAGAAGGAGAGAATAAGGACCTCGTGATTGACAATACGTACGCATTGCGATACTTGAACCTATTTAGCAAGAGCTCGTCGCTCTGTCGGCAGGTGACCCTCTGCTTGCGGCAGTCGTTCCCATTGCTAATGATCTTCAGTGTTGCTAGCTTGGGCAGGCTGCGATTCCTTTTAGCTCCCAAGGTGAACGACCTCTAAGAGGACTCCACAATCACATCGTAGAGAGCCTTGCCAACGTCCTCCCACTTGTACTTGAGCACCTTCTCGCGAGCCGCCTTGCCGTGCTTCGCACGCAGCTCTGGATCGTCCAGATACTTCAAAATAGCATCGCATGCATCTTGAGGGTCGATGATCGACGCCTCCCCTCCGATCACATCCCTTGAATCAATGTACTCACGGCCCTTTACATCGAGCAGTGTGGCGCAGCTGTCGTCCAAGTACTCTTGAAAGCCGCCTAAACGGCCGCAGATCTGGGGCTTGCCCACTCCTGCATGTTCGAGGGATGTAAGCCCCACGCCCTCGCCCTGTGCAAGATTAAGGCCAACATCCGCCTCGTTGTAGAGCTTATTCACGTCCTCGTCGGTCATGGCGCTCGGATTCTTGACGGTCAGAAGGTGTCCCAAGAAGTGGGACACCTTCTCCGGCTCCATCCGCTTGCATAGCTCCCTTGCAAACAGCCTAGGAACGTCCCAAGCACCGCCCTTGAGGTCGGTCGCGGCCACGAAGCGCACGTTTGCATCGGGCCTCTTTGCGCACACGAGGGCCATGGTGATCGCCATCAGGTCGTAGCGTTTGCGGGGCTGGTTCCTGTTCAGGTTCAGACAGATCATGGGTGCATCGGCCGGCTTTGAAGGCTGTTCCGTAGGGTATATCTGATCAGGATCAAACCCGTGCATGAGCGTGCTCATTGGCTTGGTTATACCCTGAGCCAGCAACTCCTGCTTCCAGTACTCTGTGAATGCAATGATGTGGTCTGCACCCCGGTCGACTATTGCCAACAGGTCGGGGTTGACGAAAGGGTACACCGTATCGAGGTAGACAATGATGCGAGCCCCCGGGCACGCGCGCGGCTCAATGGCCAATTCATTCAGAAACTTGGCCACAATGAAGGCATCGTTGAAGATCACAATGACATCCGGCCGGCTCAGCCTCACAAAGTCCCGAAAGTTCTTGATCCCAAAGCCTTGCTCAAAGGGAATTTCGGCTTTCGCGGCGTCATGCACAATGATCGACTCTGGTAGGGCCTTGAGGCGCTTCTGCTGAGGGTCGGAGTCGTTGTTAAAGTGCTGAAACCCGTAGTGGATGACCTCGAGATCGTCAAACTTTCCAAGCTGCTTGAGCAGGTTCCAGGAGACCTTGGAATATCCTGTAACTTGCGAGACATGGGTTGAGACGACTAGCACGCGCAGGGTGGGCGCTTCAACAATTTTCACCATAGAGGAGTCATGCTTCAATGCTGGCAAAAGATAAAGGTTATATGGAACGCGGCCTCCAACCCGTACATCTACTGCCTCACACACTTCCACTGGAAACCGGTTGCCGTGCTGCGGGCCGTCCTGACTGCATACTTCATCCGCTCGTAAGACAGATTGCTGTCCTCGGCGGCCTCTGCCATGGTGCCATACGTCTTCAAAAGCGTCCCCTGGAGATCGTGCTTGCTAACGGCCCTGTTGTTCTTCATGTTCCGCCCCTGCTCAATCTTGGTCGCATAGCGTAGGTTGCCAATCACGTCGTGGTTGCAGATTCCATCGATGTGGTCGACCGTGTGCTTGTTGCTGGGCGGCGGTCCAATGAACGTGTGGGCCATGAGATTGTAGACAAAGACTTCAACGTCCTTCCCGTCGATCCGAAGATTGACCTTGTGCCGCCCATGCACAATCTTGCCCTCCGTGCGCCTCCCGTGGCGAAGCTGGACGCGGCCCAGGCTGCTGACCCGTATGCCATCGAGAACCCGCCCTTCAAGCTTCGCGTCCATCCATTCTTCATCGGGCCTGTCCGCCTGCGAGGCCACGTGCACCGGGCACCTGCGGAACACGTATCCCTTGTACTCCGTGTTTGACCCCTCTTTGGCACGCAACGCCACCACTGCCACGTTTAGCCCCAACGCTCGAGCGGCAGCATTGATCGAAGCGTACTCATCCTCTTTGCCGCTCGCAATGTGCTGTACGAATACTGGGAAGCCCTTGGTCACACTACACTTCTTGGCCATCCCCGGATTGTCCGCACGAGTCTTGATGTTGTGCTCCGGCCGTGTAATCTCCTGCAGGTTCGCCCAGCTGTCGTCCGGCGTCTTTGAAGGGACGATGTGGTCAATATCCAACCCAGGAAGAATGGCACGCCCGTTGGCGATCTCGAAGTTCAAGCGGTGGCGCTGGATAGTCTTCCCTTCGATCCCCAAGTGAACGTAACCACCCTGAAAGTGTCCATTCAAGAAGCGCCCGGCTTTGCTGCTCCAGACCCGGCCATCTGGGAGCCCGTGAATATGCTTGTACTCGAAATGCTGCTTCCATCCCTGGTAGCTCGAAAATGGCGCATACTGCTCCGAGTGCGAGTTCATGTGGCGTGTGAATGACCGTTGGCTAGTAAACACCTTGCCACAGCCAGCAAATCCACACACGAGTTGCTTGGGATCATCTATCTGGCTGTGCTTGCGCTTCACACTGATCGTCATGCTGGTGGTAACACTGGAATCAGCCATCTCTCTTGAACGTGCTCTTTCTGCCTAATGTCTTGTCCCTAAGTGTGGCGGGCTTCATGCTAAACCATGAGAATGCAATTAGTGTGGTTTTTGACATGATACGAGCTTGATGCCAAGACTCCTCACTGACGGATTGCCATACATATGCCCCCTCAAGGATAGCCCTGGATCTTGAGTCGACACAAGTAGGACACGCAGTACGGGTGCTTCCAGAATTTTCACCATACTGCTCCTAATGGGGACTGC